AGCCCTAGACAAAGTCTGGTAACAGGTTTTGTCAGTTTGATGTAATTCCTGATATCCGCTTACTGTTAAACTACTTAAAGAGTGAAAGAAATTGTAAAGATGTAGTACCTTGTACTATTTTATTTAAAACAATTTTTAGAAAAAGTACATGAACATGTAAACACTACGCATCTTCAATGTTGATTCATTAAATTTTGCCATAATTCCACTAATTAAATCCCAACAATACTCCTTTGTGATTTGGAAAATCCCAAGCCTATTAATTATAAACACTGCCAACTTTCTGTTTAAACAAACTTCGCAATCAACGAACTCGAGAGACGGCCGATGCTAAATTTGATGTACTCGTATTCAATCCGGTTTTCATTTCGACATATTAAAAATTAATTTATTGGAAAATGCAAATATTTAAATAGCCACGTTTGTTGGTAGCTTCTGCATTTCAGAATGATCTATAAATTGGACATGAATCAAACTAAGTATTTTATTGACATGAACATTAGTCAATAAAGCTAACAGCTGTCGTTGTTTTGTCCGACCCCAGTATAAGACACGGGAAGTAACTAAATATTTGCTTTAAACATTTGTGCATTTCCTAAAGTAAAATTTCCCTTAAACAAAAGGTAAATTTAGATGTCCACTTTGATTTGACACACATTCTGTAACGGAATGTATAAGCCATGTTACCCTGCTTTCACTTTATCATCAGAGGCACTACAACAGAAGAGAGATGCAGGGCTTTGCTCGCCTTCTACAAGATATAGACAGAGAGCATGGGCCTGGTTATTTTTTATAATATAAGGTGGCAAACGAGCAAGCGGCCACCTGAATCCACCGAAATGGGACGCGACCGCTGCCCATAAACATCCGCAAATGCACATGCGTTGCCGACCCTTGATTGACGGAGGAGGAGACGCACATATAGAGGACATTTTCTCTTCCTATGCGTCTCCTCCACCGTCAAATCCTCTTTTCCTTCCCATCCTTTTCTCTTAAGAAAAGGGTGGAAAGGGAAAGGGACTAAAATTAGGCCTCCGACACCACACTTAATAGACGAAACGCGGAATTGCTTCAACTTCACGCCTGTTTTTTGTGTGGTCGTGGTATTACACCGGGCGAGCCGGCCCATTCGTGCGAAAATTTTAAAGCGGGCTCTACCACTGTGGTTTAGTACAGTCCCATTGTTAACCACTTTCATAGACAGGGTAATAATGCAACTTATATCTTATGATTCTCAGTAATTGTTGGTATGAGTCGCACTTTATTAAAACAATAGACGACCGGCAACCGTTTATCTTTTGGTGCTTTAACGCCTGGCGTAAGTTGACGGTCTATTTACCACTTTTCACCATTAAGTAGCAAAGAAACAGTTATGTGAAACTTACAATACGATAAATGTTGGCTTAACAGGTTGATTAAAAATGAAGAGAGTTCGAAGGAATGTTCCCAAACCTTTCTTGTTGCACGTTAAACGTGTCATGGACCGAATCGGCGGGAACTTTTATAAACAAAGTGTAAACATTATTTTCACACAAACGTAAAATGTACTCACAAGTTGACGATCGCTGGTACGTTGTACTTCGAAGATGTACGTTGAAAATTGTGTAAGAATGCCCAAAATAAGACCGGGTCATAATTCAAACACGAACACTGACAACACTAAACATAAGTAACGGAAACAAACTGTATCACGTGTATTGGAACTATATGAGCTAGTTCTATTGCAAATTAAATGATTATTGAATGTTTTTCATTAATAATTCGACCGGTAAAGAATCGGGAAGATTTCGACGCGCGCAGTACAGGTTTGACGTGTTATCGGGCGAGCGGTTTGCGCGCGACTGAGCTTTTCAGGCATCGGGGTAGTGGCGCCCAGCCGTCTGCCAGGTGTTATCTGCCTGGCCCGCCCCTGAGCCCCCGCCCCGCCAACCCCCTTTCATGCCCCGAACATCTCCAACGACACGTACCTATCTTAGCCGAAATGTAAACGCATTTATCTGACGACTGTTGGAAATCGCCGCTAAGTCAGCCCTCGATGCTGACGGAGTGCTTAAAATTCATACATGAATGTGTATGTATGAACACGTATGTGTGTTTAAGCCATCCGGATAACACGGGACAATGAGATGCTTACATCCAACTTGACAATGTGATGAATGCGTAGGGTATTTTCGTTTTAATAAAAAGATTTACATTTACCATTTATTGTATTCTAATGAGATGAACAAGAATAGACAGAAGTTTAGTTACTTGACTTTTTTCACAAAAGTATTTACTTATGAAACTACCATAGACAATAACCTCTACCTACCAAGATACTGGCTATTTACGTCGCCTATTGAATATAAAATTTCATACGTCTTATATACTTGAATTAAACCAAACCCTTAAAAACATTTTTAAGTTTTGAATGTTACTAGACAAAGATTTTTCTCTCACGTGTTAATATATATTACTTATACTTTTTTATTTAACGCAACTGTAACTATATTGTCAACGTCAAAGGCTTTGTCGCGGGAAAATTTCCATTTAAAAGCTTTCAAACTACCGCAGACTTGTCGTTTAATTTCGTCTAATCTGAAACTTTGAAGGGTTATGAAGCGAAGTGCTACACTGTTTCACTTATTGAATTCCTTCACTTTGATGGGCTTTGTCTAACTTATTACTAACAATTAACAAAGATATTCAATAGACAAATTTTAATATAGCTGTTATGCTCACCAGAATGACATATAAAACTTACATCTAAACTATTATAATAAAGCGTAAACACACACTTCTTTGTTGCCTAAGATGTCAGCAATTACTGAATATTTTTGAATAATCCTTTTTTTAATAAAAAGCACACTTACGTCACGCTTTAGGCTATATATTTTCAAGCCATTAAACTTAGGGAGTAAATATTTTAGATAAAAACCTTAATGTGTGAAAGAGACCATAAGTTGATGCCAACTTCAAGGAAGCAAGATTGCCAAGGTTTGTCATGTCATGTCATTTTGACATTTGCTAGCAATATGTTAATAAAATTTTCATAATTACATGCGGATGAAGCCGCATGGAAACAGCTAGTAACCAATAAACAGACAAGATTTTTTTTCTCGCTTAAAGATTTTGTAGTTATTAAAATATTGTAGATTTGCAGCGGCGCGACAAAAACAAATTAAAACAACTATTTTAAGATAAAAATACAGATAAAATATGCATTAATTGGTCCTTGACAAAGGTTCTATAGCAAATTATTCGCTCAATGGACCTCAAGCTTCGTTTATCTGCGTTCATTAGAGATATTTGAGCATAAAATCGAATAGAAGCTATTGCTAAGTTTAATGTAAAATATTATTATTGTACCAACATTTATTTTTATCGATTTAAAAATGACAGATAAAATTATCTAACTCAAAGATTATATGTTAATATGTAAGTCAAAGAATGGATGTGTGGGGTAACACGAATGGATAAGATACGAAATGAGTATATTAGAGGAAGTTTGAGAGTAGCCCCCATAGTACAGAAAGTTAGGAGTAAAAGATCAGCATTGTATGGGCATGTTATGAGGAGGGATGAATCGCATGTTACAAGGAGAACGTTAGTTATGAGTGTGGAAGGGTACATCGGTAGACGTAGACCTAGAAAGAGATGGATGGATTGTGTAAAAGGTGACATGATCAAAAAGGGAGTGATGACTGAGATGACGTATGATAGAGTTATGTGGAGGACAAAAACCGGTTGCGCCACCCTACGGGAGTAGGATAAGGAGATGATGATGACGTAAATCAAAGAATATAAGTTCGATCTTGAATAAGTTATAGAGAATGTTCAAGTGAAAATGTTTCTTCCGAAATCAATAATTAATTTTAATTGTAAATCAAGAATAATTGATCAATTCGCCTCACTTAACCTCACACACGGGTGCATCCAATCAACGACGATACGCTCTGCGTTGGAACAATGAAAACAATGCGAAATATGATGAAAATGTAACAAAAGCGGAATTAATTCACGATAAAAAACAATACAAACCAGTATAGAAACATAATGTTGATAACAAATGAAGAACGACTGGGAAAATCATAAAGTATAGACGTAATCATACTTCATTTTAATATTACAACTAAATGCAAAATTTAATTACATGGTTGTTAGAATTTTTAACCTAACCGTCTGAACATTGATGAAATTTGGTATAGATGTAGAGGACAGTCTGGAAAAACATATAGCCTACTCCCTTTTGTTCTCTTTTTAATTCCACGCGGACGGAGTAACGGACGAAAGCTAGTTGGTTATAGTTTTAAGTGGACATTTGTTGCAATAGAAATTCGTTATATCAGAAATGTATCCTTAGATTTTATTAAAAATGTTTTTATCTGATCTTAGGAACATAAAAATTGAGTTTCTGAAATGGCTTTAAAACTTTTCTAAATACTGAATTTAAAGTATTTCATTTACTTCGTTTCATAATTGAAGTTTATTAAATCGAAGTCTTCATTAAGTTATCCGAGCAAGATAAACGCCATCTATTATGTAGCGCTGAAAACACTAGCTCTGTGTTCTCATCTTCGACACCAGACAATCAGTTTTATATTTTACTCTAACTAATATTATCTTTTGAATACAATAGCTATTTTTAATTTTCTACGTTTTTACCTAACAAGATTCTGCCCGAGTCACCGTCCGCGTTAATTAAAAAACAATAACAACAACAGTAAGTAGCCTATGTGTTCTTCCAAAATAAAATAATGCAACAATGTTGATAAAAAATATCAAACAAGCAATTAATGTGTTGCAGGTTTATCAACGCCATCTGTTGTTCAAATTATTGACTGATGTTTATTTTTGTATGTATTGAAATAACACAAAAACTACTGGGCCGATTTCAAAAATTCGCCAATAAATAGCTACGTTATCAGTGAGTAATATAGGCCACGTTTTTATTATTTTAAAAATTCACGGAGGTGAAGTCGCGAACAAAAGACAGTAATTAATAGTTCAGAAACACTTACTTCCTTTTCTTTAGCGTAGTAGAGCGTGCGGCCGCGCAGCCGGAAGTAGCGGCGCTGCCAGCGCTGGAAGCTACGTGTCTGCTTCATCAGGTAGCCCTCCTTCACCACCGGCTGCAGACAACAAACACAACTATAGCTTCACATTAAAAAGGGAATACACATGCCAGTAACTGGCTTGTAGAGACTACGAGAGATTGAGACTGACCAACGTTACTTAATGTACGAAACCCTTATCTTACGAACATTATATTTGTAAAAACCACGACAGTTTAAAGTTATATGTTACTCAATGTAATTTGACTTATCATCATAAACGTTTATCTAAGTTTTTTTAGTTTAATGTGATTAATCAAAATATGTTTAACATGCGCTTTTCGATAGTGAAAACCCAGCTTAAGTCAATTTTTTTTTATAACAAAAGGTGGCAAACGAGCAAGCGGCCACCTGAATCCGCCAAAATGGCGAAGCGACCGCTGCCCATAGACATCCGCAATTGCAAATACGTTGCCTACCCTTATCCGACAGAGAAGAAGATGCACATAAAGCGGATATTTCCCCTACCTATGTATCTCCTCCTCTGTCAAATCCACTTTCCCTTCCCATCCTCTCCTTATAAGAAAAGGGCGGCAAAGAAAAAGGGACTTAAATTAGGCCTCCGGCACCACACTCATCAGACGAAACACGGAATTGCTTCCACTTCACGCCTGTCTTCTGTGTGGTCGTGGTATTACAACGGGCGTGTCGGCCCTGCAGTGCTAAGATGTTAAAGCTGGCACTACCACTGTTAGCATTCAAGTTCTTGAACTTGCAAAAATTTTATAGCATAAGAGGTTTATTCCCAAATAATAGTTAGAATTACTATTTCTCAATAGACAAATCGTAAAGAAATGAAACACTTCCGGCGCTAGAAACAGAATTCGTAGAAAAACTAAATACTTCCAGTCCTCGAAACGTAATTCTTAAATAAATGTGTCCAGTCTAAAACGATATTTCTGTTTTATTAATCTTATTGGCTATTATATACAACAGGTAAATAATATATGAGCGGTCGTCTCAACAATATAAATAATCTGCAATATCAATGTTCGATGTTAATAATGAACGATAAAACATTTATAAGTCATCCTTTAGCTACGGACAAAATTAATCAAACTACAGCCCAGTTGTAAAAGATGTAAAAACATACAGTTTTAGCAGTCTTACAAATAAGATATTACAATATATTTATTTATTTATATAAGTATACACAACAGCAAATTTAATCACACAAATACATACGAAAATAGAACAAGTATACACAAAATGATAAATTAGCCAATAGGAACATTGTCAGAAACGATTTATTAAGGTTAATTTTTCTAAATAAGTACAGTGACGTGACGTCATTTGACAGTGGTAGACCCCGCTTTAACATCTTCGCAAGAATGCGTCGGCTCGCGAGGTGTAATACCACGACCACACAGAAAACAGACGTGAAGTGGGAGCAATTCCGCGTTTCGTCTGATGAGTGGGGTGCCGAAGGCCTAATTTTAGACCCTTTCCCTTTTCACCCTGTTCTTAACAGGAAAGGATGGGAAGGAAAAGTGGATTTGACGGTGGACGAGACGCATAGGAAGGGGAAATGTCCAAGGGTAGGCAATGCATCTGCAATTGCGGATGTTTATGGGTGGCGGTCGCTTTCCATTTCGGTGGATTCAGGTGTCCGCTTGCTCGTTTGACACCTTATTTTATAAAAAAAATTATACATATTGGTATTTCCTTAAATTAATAAGACGAATTCACATTCAAATTGGATTCGTAGAAATGTGTTAGAGCATATTCGTAAGATGGGATTGAATTCAGACATGAGAACTGATAGTAATGCAACTGATGGTTGGGTCTTTGAACAAAAGAGGACGCCACTGTTCTGAGAATTACATAGTCTCATGTAACTTTCTTAAATCCCCCCGTCTCCAAGGGTTGGTACAAAAAGGGGTCGCCTGACCTCGCTCAGAGGCAGCATTAAAACTGATACTATAGAGATGTATGTAAGAGTCCAACAACCATCTGTAGCTAAAACTAAAGGACAATGTATATTTTTACTGAAACAAAAGTTTGCTTGCTAAAAATAAACTTTACAATAGCGATATTATTTTCAACAAGTTTTTTTATAATTATCCCTGCAGCGGGAAGTTAATGCGAAATGCATTAAGCACTTTGACATAATTAATACAACTTCCATAGCTCCATGTCGGTTAAGTATGCTTTTAACTCACGACCAGAGACTAATTAAGATGGAAATGGAAAACTGAAACTGATGTAAAATAAACATACAACCAGAAACAACATAAACAATAAATCTGATGGATGTAGTTGAATAGCAAAAAATCGTAAAAAGAGAAACATTTGTATTTTTTTATGTTGAAATAACTCAAAAAATACTTGGTCGATTTTAAAAATTCTTTCACCATTAAAAGGCTACGTTATCACTGAATAACATAAGCAATGTTTATTATTATTTTTTAATTCCACGCGAAGTCGCGAGTAATTTATGTAGAGGTATCGAAACTGATATAAACTTAAAGAATCACCTTACCTTAGTTTAAATTTTAGACTGTATAGAAATATCATAATATGGTGAATATTTGTTACTATATCTTAAACGGCTTAACGAATCTCAATAATTAGACATAGATGTATAACTTTGTCTGGAACAACAAATAAGTTATTAATTGAGTTTAAATTTCGCGCGACGCAATTGGTCGACAGCAGAAGTACATAAAACTAGCTTTTATTAAAAACATTCCATAATATACTACAATTTCATAGTAAACATTTAAAAAGCCCGACCTAGTAACACGATACAGGCTGCATTAGCCACTTAATGTAGCTTTTAGTTCACAGGCGGTATGCCAATAAACTATTAGGACATCGAAATATACTTATGACGTACAAACAGACCGAAATATGTATCAGAAATACGCTCTAAATCTGTTAAAAAAATGTAATGTACTTTAAAAAACTAGCTCTTGCCCGTGACTTTGTCCACCCAATATTAAGATGAAAGTAGCCTAGAATATGCGCGTCTATGTCAGCTACCCTTCAGTAAAAGTCCGGTCGAAATTGGTCCAGCCGTTTATAAGATTACCCGAAACAAACGCGGCTTTTCTACATACAGACAGACAAAAACGTTTAAATGCAATTTTCGTTATCAGCAACGCAAATACATCTTGTTCCCGAAATCTGGTATTTTTCTTTTTAAATTACAGACACTCCAATATTATTATATAAGTAAAAAAATGTAGATAAAAAGCGCCAATACATGTTATAGAAATCTTTTTCGTCGAAGTAGAATTTAATATTAAATACTCCATGGAACTGTAAGCGTAATGAAATATTAAATTAATATACGTTACCTGGAAAACTCAACGTTTAAATTCCAAGAGTTTAAAGAAGATTGTATTTTCCAAGAATATAAAATCACAATATAGTTAAAATTAAATTTAAATATGATTTCCGAACAAACTCACTGATATCGTGAAAACCACTTGAATGTCGTGTTTAAAACTACATTTATAAAATGTAGTCTGTAAAGCTCGCTACACATGTACGATTTAAGTGAACATAATATAGTTAAATCTGAAAGTGTGCAGTGGCTTTAACCTTTATATTTAGTATCTAAAGGCTACAAGTTACCTGTATTTCGATTTATCGGCTACATTTATTTAAAAACCATTATACAGTGTAATTTCTTAACATCTCGAACTTTATTCTTGGAAAAGGGTAACAAAGAGGATTTATCAGAGCGTAATTACACTTCAATATAATTTCTAAGAAACAAGACGCCGTGTAAGATTAACTCAAGTCACATTGTTTTATAATTAGTTAAATTCTGAGAAAACTAATTAGAGAGCGACACCGGACGAAATACGAAAGGGTGGAAGTCAAATGCCTCAAGCGATATAGATTTAATAAATAAACAATTTATTCAGCTTTAACGACATATTTCTAATGAAAGGGAAATAAGACGAGACGTAAATACAAAAACAAAAAGGATTTTTTATAACCTAAGCGCCAATAGCTCTATGGTTTTGTGGTACGGACTACTGAACTTACGATTGAGGGTTCGAATCCCGCCATTCGACTATCGTCGTGAACCATATCATAGCCCAAGCCTAGAGCTTAGTTGGAGTGGTTTAACGAAATATTAGTAAATTAAAAAAAGTCTACTAATATTTTCAATATAAAAATATTTGAATGCAATACCAAGTAGGTCCCCCTCGCTGGATGTATATTATGACAAGTCTAAACTAAGGGCCACATTTAGCGCTCAAACAACGTCTCTGAGTGCGGTTATAAATCTGACGTATGCGTTAATGCCAGTAGCACAGAATTCAGAAAACTAAAACAGAGAGCTAGCAATTTTGTGTATAAAACATAAGTTATTTAGTAAAGAATATAGAAGAAAAAGGCATCCTCCCAACTTAAGATATATTCATGACACACTAGCGTTAAATCAATTACGTTTTGAACACTTGGGACCATAACTTATCCCCTCGACCGTGGTCACATTAATTCAAACCAGTAAATACATGTACTTCATTATTGTGGTAGTAAAAGTAAATCATTCAGCATTGAAACCCTACGTGTTAATAGTCTCTCGGCTGCCATTTTTCATGCGCTCCGCTCGGCGCGATGCCAAACGTATAGACACGACCAGTGATAACTCAAACGCACTCAACTTGAGAACATTAACTATTCACTAAGGTCGATGACAGCGAAAGGTTCAAATACAAGGAATAACAAATGACTGGCGAAGTAACATCCATTTTATTACATTTGTACCATTTATTACGAGATTCTATATACGAAAGCATTTAATAAGAATTTAGCTTCATTAATTTCCCATTATTATTAATCTGCTTTTATTATTACGCTAGTTTTATCTAAGTCTATACTAATATTGTAAAGTAGAAAGATTTGTATTTTTGCATGTATTGAAATAACTCAAGTACTACTGGGCCGATTTCAAAAAATCTTTCACCATTAAAAAGCTACGTTATCAGTGAGTAAAATTGACTGTATTTTTTATTGCTCTTAAATTTCACGCGGGCGAAGTCGCAAGCAACAACTAATTTAATACATGAAAACGGACGAAAGGCCAATTACTGAAACGAATCTTAAATGTTTCATTTTGAAAGCATTGCTTAAATTGTTGCAAAATATTGATACATCAAAGGTCGTTTCAGAACTTACCGTAAGTGAT